GCATATTTTGTTCCTCCAGGTCAGTTCGAGTTGTTTAATGTTTTACTGACTCATGAGTCAGATTCCTCTTTTGCAGCTTTCTGTTCTGAGCGCACCTTGGTGGAAATAGCATGATATACGATCAGAAATATGTAGTTTAGGTTCTCTGGACTTGTCCTAATTTGGAACAGGAAAAGATGGACTTTCTCTAACATCTTGCTGTGGTGTTAAGATACAGTGGGATGTTTTCAATTTCCTAATTAATTAATGAATTAATTACCCCTCAGCATATTATTTTTTAACACAGATTTTATATTAATAACTTTCTAAACGATGAGAGGATGTAAGAGCGTGCACCAGTGTGGTGTACTAGATAAGGTGCCGGCCTAGAAACCAGGAGACTGTGAGTTCCAGTCCCCCCTTAGGCACAAAAGACAGGGGTGACTTTGGGCCAGTAATTCTCTCTTAGTCTAATCCACCTCACAGGACTGTAGTTGTTGGGGAAATTGAGGCAAGAAGGAGTATTTTGTATGTTCGCCACCTTACTTACAAAATAATAAAGGCGGGATAAACATCTAAAATCTAATAAATAAGTAGACAGATACACATACTCAAACCACACTCATTCTCTCTGGAATAGGCTTTCTTACTTAATGTGCCACGCCCCTGCTTAGGCAGGAAATTTTTTTACTATTTCAGACAAATGGTGGTCCAATCTCTTCTTAAAATCCTCCAGTGTTGAAGCATCCACAACTTCTGGTGGCAAGAAATTCCACTGGTTAATTGTTCTCACGGCCAGGAAATTTCTCCTTAGTTCTATAGGTTGCTTGATCAGTTTCCACCCATTGCTTCTTGTTCTACCTTCAGGTGCTTTGGAGAATAGCTTGACTCCCTCTTCTTTGGGGCAGCCCCTCAAATATTGGAATATTGCTATCATGTCACCCCTAGTCCTTCTTTTCATCAACCTAGACATAACCCAATTCCAGCAACCGTTCTCTGTATGTTTTAGCCTCCCGTCCTCCTAATCATCTTTGTAGCTCTTCCTTGCTCTCTTTCTAGAGTCTCCACATCTTCTTTATATCTCGGCGAGCAAAACTGGATACAATATTCCAAGTATGGTCTTACTAAACTGTAGTATAAATAAAGTACCCGGTTATTTACATTGCTCTGTATTATTTTGAGATGAAGAATTTTGTATGTTACTGCAATTTTATTTGCAACACATAGCAATTTAACACTCAGCTTATTTTCGACTAGGGGACAATGGTACCAGGTAAAATCTTGGTTTTGTATTAGCATGCATTCGCAGCAAACTAAATGGGATATATGATATATTGAAAATAAACTGATTTATTTTTCTAGCACCAAAATTTCACCTTAAAGAAGAACCTTCATTTAGAAGCTTTCTTAAGGAAGCTTTTTCCAGCTGAAAGAAAGACTTAGAGCCAATGTTTCGTTTACTGTACCTAAAGTTGTCACTGGCACTTGGTGATATGAATAGACATCTAAGCCAGTTGCCATAGTAACGCTGCAGCATAGTAGAAAATTTAAGTTCCTTTTTATATTTTGATATTGCTCATTTTTTTTTTTTTTTGTGGAGAGAGGAAGAAAGGAAAAAAAAAAGAGTGCTGAAACATGGTTTTGGAGTTGAAAGATAAATTCGTCTGGTAAATTACAGCTAGTCCTCGCTTTACGACCACAATTGATTGCACAATTTTTTGTTGCTAAGCCAGACCATTTTAAGTGGGGTTTTGTCCCCTTTTACAACCTTTTCTCTTGGCACTGTGGTTAAGTGAATTTTTGCGGTTATTAAGTTAGCAATACGTTATTAAATGAATCTGGCTTTCCCCGTTGATTCTGGTCTCAAAAAGTGACCATGTGACCCCTGGCACACGGCAAACCATTGTAATTATGAGTCAATTGCTAAGTGCCTGAGTTTTGATCTCATGACCGTGGGGCAGAGGTGGTCTTTAGCAGGTTCTGACCAGTTCTGGAGAGGAAATGTAGCGGAAATGTTGAGTAGTTTGGAGAACCGGCAAATCCCACCTCTGACTGGCTCCGTCCCATCTTTTCTCTGCCTCCCAGCAAGTCCCAGCTGATCGGCTGGGTCTTCTTTGGTTGCCCTGCAGAGGAGAACGGAGCTGGAAAGCAGGTTAGTGGGGTGGGGAAAGAATGGAGATTTTGCAATATTCTTCCCCTGCCACGCCCACCAAGCGAAGCCATGCCCACCAAGCCAAGTCACACCCGCCAAGCCACGTCCACAGAACCAGTAATAAAAAAATTGAATCTCACCATTGACGTGGGGATGCTGCATCAGTCGTAAGTGTGGAAAAATGGTCCTCAAGTCACTTTTTCTCAGCGCCATTGTAACTCGGAACGGTCGCTAGACGAACTCTTGGAAGGACTCCCTGTAGATTAAGCCAAACAATTAAAAACTATGCCTATTTGAACTATATGCTAGGTCACTGGAGTTGCGAGATTTTATAACCAGTTTGCTGCTAAAATGCACGGAGCAGGTTTTTCATTTAATAATTCATAGATGACAAGGTTTTGTGAATGGCCTTCCCCGATGACTTGCTTGCTTATCCTAAGGCTGTGTTCTCTTCTTTGCTGGTCTGCTTTAGCCTTCAGATTCTGCTTTTTCATAGATTGATATTGTTACTTATAGTTTCTGTTGTATAAGCCCTTTTCATACTCGAGCAGGATGCTAATGGAGAATGAGAAAATAGGAACTTGATGCAACCACTAGCTCGATACCCATGCTTCGCTAGGAAACTATGTGATCAGGCTTAGTTTTGGGGGGAGGAAAATAAAGGGGGCGGGAATTCTGCCTCTGCCTAACAGCATCCATCGGTATTCATCTGACCAGCGTCCTTTCAATGTGTGAGAGAGTTGAGGGCTGTTTGGAAACTGAAACTGTGAGCAAGAAGGAGACAGCAAGGAGCCTGGGCCTGCCTTAGCTCAAGTGTTCTGCAGTAAAGCTGCTTGGTGCTGTGAAACCAAAACCTCCTCTGTTTGTGTTTTGCATTTGGAACAGATGGGGAGGGGGAGTAGAACTCCTATGCATCAGAGCGTGTTAATAATAATAATATAGGAAATACTAAAGCTCTGATGGTCATTTCCAAAAATCCTTTCTTAGTGAGCACCTAGAAGCCAATTTGGAACATACAGGCCAAATTTCAAGTTTGTAGGCTTTACGGTTCTGGAGATTTTGTGATGATGCGTGAGTGGTATTTTGCTTTGGTATATATATAGATTATTGGGACAAAAAGTGACTTAGGACCATTTTTCATGCTAACAACCGTTGTAGCTTTCCCGTGGTCATGTGATTTACAACTGACTCACATTTATGAAGGTTGCAGTGTCTTGGGGTCATGTAATCACATTCTGTGACCACCTGATAAGCAAAGTCAACGGGGAAGCCAGTTTCACTTAAAGACTGCACGATTTGTTCAACAACTGCAGTGATTCTGGTCTCAGTTGTCCTTGTAAGCTGAGGATTACTTGTAACAGAAGTTGTGATCGCTTTGCTGCTGTCAGCAAAGTTAAAAAAGTTTCACATCTTGAAAGAAGTACCACGTTATGAATATTTGTGTCCCAGGATAATGTTGCACGATCGAATCTGGGTCGGTCACCGAGACCAGAGGTTTTGTCTGCTGGAGCCCATATCCTCAAAGAACTTTAGAGAAGAGTGTGTGCTAGATTCAATGTTAGAGCTATTAAGATTGTTGGACGAGCAGGCACAAAAACAGCCAGGGAAGTGAATTGAAGCCTAGGAAACAGGCAGCACAAGCCAATAACGTCAAAGCCCCCGAAATCAACATCTAAAAAGACAAACACAACTATAAATACCATGTCAGTGTTCCAATTAACAAACTCCAAACCAATGCACTCCGAGATAGGCATTTCTCAAAACTCCATTTTATTAGAGTAGTCATATTGGCACATCTGGATAAATCCAAATCTGAGAGTTCTGGGTTTTCCCTCCATAATTGAAGCTCAAAACCCCATCCCCTGCACCCATCAGTCCATCCCATGGTCCAATAAGGGGCCATCCCAACAAGAAACATTCCTCCAACCGCTCCTTGACAGGTACAGGACAACTTGTCCTTGACTCAGAAGAAGAATGTTGTTATGTCTAAACTTTCTCACTCTATGATATCCTCCCTCCCAAATTCCCAGGCACTAAAATGTGACAGTGGGGAAGCGTCTAAATAAAAATATGGCTTCCAAAGCTGACATAGGTAAAGGTTCCCCTTGCACATATGTGCTAGTTGTTTCTGGCTCTAGGGGATGGTGCTGTCCGAAGTCGTCTCCGTGGTCATGTGGCCGGCATGACTAAATGCCGAAGGCACACAGAACGCTGTTACCTTCCCACCAAAGGTGGTCCCTATTTTTCTACTTGCATTTTTATACATGCTTTCGAACTGCTGGGTTGGCAGAAGCTGGGGCAAGTTACGGGAGCTCACTCCGTTATGCAGCACTAGGGATTCGAACTGCTGAACGGCCGACCTTTCTGATCAACAAGCTCAGCCTCTTAGCCACTGAGCCACTGCATCCCTTCCTGATATACTGCACACAGAACAGCACACACTTCTGGTGGGAGAGAAGTTCCCCGAGGGTGGGCTCCAGAACAAGTCCGAAAGCTCGAAAGACAAAACCTCTGTTCCCGTTGACCGACTCAGATTGGATCCCTAAGTACCATTTTATTCAAAAGATGGTACTTTGTACTGGCCAGATCAGGAACAGAGGTAGTGGTTTTCCTCTTATCTTTTAATCTGATTTTATGCGTGTGCTTTAAATCCTACATACCAACCTGCTGCTGTTTTTCTTTTTTTCCCATTCTTGCCGTGTTCCATAACATTTTCAGATTCATTTCTGCAGCCCACGCCGAATCAATTATCCTCTTTCATAAAGAATGTTTGAATGAGAAGCTAAGAAAAGAGAAAGCTCCTGGAAATTTGTTCAAGCATTTTACTTTCTGAATATGTACATATCTCTACATATTATTTCCTTTGTAGGCCAGAGCCTCAACAAAAAGTTCCCTCTGCACCGCCTCCTCCTCCTCCTCCTCCTCCTTCTCCTCCACCATTGCCGGAACCGACACAGCCAGAACCAGAGGAAGAAATTCTGGGCTCTGATGATGAAGAGCAAGAAGATCCTGCAGATTATTGCAAAGGTTAGTTGGTGCAAAGAAAGAGGTGAATTTTGGATGCTTGAATGTCTGTGGAGAGTCTCAGTCATCCAGGTCATGGTTATCCCAAATCAGGACAGCGATCCTATTCTGATCCAGCTCCCCAAACACGACATGAGCTCAAAGATTCCTTTATCAGGAGCCTCAGCAGCCTCAGCAAAAAGTCTCTCTCTCACCACAGGGAAACAAGTCTGTCTGGCAGGGAGATGAATAGTTGTGTGCCACATCTATCCATCTCCACCCCCTGCTATTTATCCCCAGGGCTAGGGTGGGGTTTCGCTAGCAGCTGTGGCTATTCCGTCCCAAGGACCGTCCCATAGATTTCCACTGCTCTCCTCTCCTCTGCCTTCTGTGCATCCACACAGCAGGCACTGGACCCAGCTGTTCTTCCTCATCAGCCACCTCCAGACGTGGCTCTTCTGTCCCAAGGACCGGCCCATAGATTTCCACTCCTCTCCTCTGCCTTTGTGTGTCAGGCACTGGACCCAGCTGTTCCTCCTCTTCCTCATCAGCCACCTCCAGGCCTGGGGGCTATTGACTCTCCATCTGAGGGTTGACGGACAGCCCAGGCTCCGCCTCTGTCTCTCTCTGCCAGCTCTATTCCTTCTTCCCCCTTGGAGCTCCCAGGTTGCCCTGATGCTGATCCTGACTCCCACACTTCCTCCTCCTCTGATTCGGCTGCTGGAGGGGCTGGCGGCCGACAAGCCACAACAGATCCCATCTATACTTGAAATATCTGTAATTTTGGGGTTTTTTTCCCCTTGAAAACCACTATGAAGCTTCTTGGATGAGAAGCAAAACATTCAAGGAATGCAAAACCCAAGAAAGTCTTGATTTGTTGCTTTTCGGGAAAGCACCTCTGGGACAACTTCCATCATTCGAAACTAAAAATCCAGAAGTTCTTTCCAATCCCTATTTTTTTAAGCCTTGTTATTAATTAAATAAAAAGAGCTTCCATTACTAGTAATACTTTCTCCTTTAATTCTGGATTGTGGAAAATGCATGCAAGAACCTTATTAAGTTATTTAATGAATTATTATTTAACATAATTTTTTTAAAAATTGTCAGTCTGTCGACAGTGGCTGAAGTATTTTCTGTTATCAGTTTAATCTCTTTCTTCCAAATTCTCAATAGTTTGAGGTTGTTGGGCCACTAAGGAGAAAGAATAGAATATTGTTGTTGATTATAGTTGTTTATAGGTAGTCCTCGACTTACAACCACAATTGAGCCCAAAATTTCTGTTGGTAAGTGAGACATTTGTGGAGTGAATTTTGCCCCATTTAAAACCTTTCTTGCTATAGTTGTTAAGTGAATGACTGCAGTTGTTAGGTTAGTAACATGATTGTTAAATGAATCTGGCTTCCCCATGGATTCTGCTTGTCAGAAAGTCGCAAACATGGATCATGTGATCCCAGGACATTACAACTGCCTTGAATATGAATCAGTCGCCAAGTGCCTGTATTTTGGATCACGTGACTGTAGGGAAGCCTCAGTGGTTGTAAGTGTGAATAAGTCTCTTTGAATGATCATTAAATGAAAAGTTGTAAGTCAGGGATTATCTGTACTTAGGGTATTCCACTTGTTAATTACTTTCTGTAGCCTAAGTTATCATTATACTTTTAAAATATACTTGCTTATTTTATTAAATTCATCAAGCTGTCCATTCTATGACTGAATGGTATACAGTAAAAACGCTCCTACAAAAGAACCTACTATTTGCTGATCTCTAGTAACTGGAGTATCTGAATTATTTTATATATTCCTTGGAGACCCGTGATAGCATTTCCAAAATTAAATTAGAAAGGTTAGCAGAATTCTGACGAACCACCAATTTTATATTGAAGTCATTTCCTTCTTATGTAACTTTCCCGTCAAACCCGAAATTGACATGTGTAGCCATTTTAGTTAGGCTTAGTATATACAGTATTTTTTTTTTCTTGCTTTCTCTGTGGCAGTCATGGGGGGAAGGGTTTTGGGCTTGCCACATTCCTAAGTGGGGAGGAATGGAGTGAGAGAGAGAGTTGTTTTGGCTAGGTGATTCTTCTTCCCATGGGAAAACGAGCTGTCCATGCTTAGGCCCCTTGAGGTGGAGATTTACGACATCAAGCAACATTGAATTACTTCTATTGGAGAATTGAATTACTTCTATTGGGGGTTGTTTCTAACTTTTAATATTGTGGGGTAATTCCGGGTTGTATCAGATCCGGAATCACCACGCACTTTGCCAATTTGATGTTTTCCTAAATAAAAGAAATTGTCTTGGAAGATGGACTTTGTTTTATTCTTTTTAAATGGATTCCATCACTTGGAAACCTGACATTTTCTATCCTTCCTTTCTCTTGTAAACTTCTGAATACTAGGATAATTTTCTTATTCTACGATCAGGAAACTCCTTGAAAATTATCTGATGGGCCACTGAGGCAAGAATTACTTTAAAGTCATCCTAACTTTAGTTTATGCGCCGCCTTATCCCCTTTTCTTGCCTAGATGACATAATGGTGCTTTATTGTGTGTCTTGGCACCGAAACCAACAATCTCTTTAACATAAGGGATTGAAAGGCAGAAAAGGAAGCATGAACGGTTGAAATTCAGCACCCTAACCCATTCCCATGTTTTGGCATTATGGTTGAGAGAGCATATAGTCTTCTTATATAATGGTACCTCGGTATTCAACTGCTTTGAAACCCACTGAATTTGGTACTCAGTGCATTTTGATGCAAAAATTTTGTCCCACTACTCCTCGTTTGTTCGGTACTCAACGCACAACCTAGAAGTTGTCTGTATCTCACTACATTATTCCTTCTGGGGAAAATTTATTTTTGGTACTCATCATGCTTCTTGGAATCAATGGACTCTTGAGTTCTGATGTACCACTGTACATACTTGAATTATTTCTCAACAATAGCATTCTTGTGTTCATGGGTGTGTAGTGTCTGATTCCAGTTTTGGGTTACAGGCTTTCAGCTCCTTAGTGACACGGATTCATTGAATGATTTTTAATAGGGGTACGATGAGTATTTAAAAAAAAGCAATTCTATGAACTCTCATTTGATTAATCCTAGTGAAGGACAGTTTGAAGAAACTCTGCAAACAATCCTTAATCCCTGCTTTCTCTTGCTTTCTAAAATAAATGGAGAAAGAGGAAGCACTGTTTTTAACCGTGTTCAGCCCAGAGTCATTCTGTGAGTGAAATTTGATTGATTGATTGATTGATTGAATGAATGAATGGCACTTAGCAATAGCACACTTAGACTTATATACACCGCTTCACAGTGCTTCACAGCCTTCTTTAAGCGGTTTACAGAGTCAGCGTATTGTCCCCAACAATCTGTGTCTTCATTTTGCCGACCTTGGAAGGATGGAAGTCTGAGTCAGCCTTGAGCCAGTGAGAATTGAACTGTTGACAGTCGGCAGAATTAGCCTGCAGTACTGCATTGTAAGCACTGTACCACGATGGCGAAGAGAGGGGGGAAAGAAGGAAGGAAGGGAGGGAAGAAGGATGGATGGAAGGAAGGAAGGAAGGAAGGAAGGAAGGAAGGAAGGAAGGAAGGAAGGAAGGAAGGAAGGATCGATCTTCGGTGCTCTCTGCGCTTGTGGGCTTTCTTGCTGATGTTTCATTACCAAACTAGAAAAGCTATTAGAATATAAATTGAAAACAAACCGCATTTCTTACTATCACTGATGATCTGTAGAAATTCTTAGTCATGATTGTCCCAAAGGTGCTTTTTTTTTTTCAGGAGGCAAGTAGACTTTCTTGTTTTTTACTTTTGAAGACGTTTCCCTTCTCATTCAAGAAGCTTCTTCAGCTCTGACAGGATGGTGGGATAGATCCTTCCATTCCTCACCACTCTGTCAGAGCTGAAGAAGCTTCTTGGATGAGAAGCGAAACGTCTTCAAAAGGAAAAAAAAAGTCTATTTGCCTCCTGAAAACAAAAAAGCACCTTTGGGATGGCACTGATGATGTTAGCTAGTTTGGTTAACGAAACGTCTGCAAAAAAACCACCAAGTTCAGAGAGCACCAAGGGCCCCTACAAATAGTCTCCTTTATTGGTAAATAAATAATCAAACAGCAGTCCAGATGTGCCAACTGTATCAGAATGGTTGGAAACTCCTTTAGAGTTTGTGGGCCACAGGTACAACTAGACGTGTGTGGTGTGTGTGTGTGTGTACTTGATGGCCTAGATTTTTGCTTTTTCTTTAGCTCTTGTTTTTTACTCTGGAGATGTCTCCTATTCATCAGAGTTAACAAAGGCAAGAATTTCTCTCATTTGCCAGCTTAAAATAACAGCACATTCAGGAGATGCTTTGAAAAAGAACCAGCTCTGCGTCTCTGCTTCTTCCCTTTCAAAACCAGTCAGTCATTATGTGAAATATTTCATTCTTCACTCTGTGGCCCTCCTTTACAGAACAGCTCTTTTAAGAAAGAGTGATAGAATTTATACCGAGTGCCCCACGTTCATCATTTCTTAACTTTTTTCTTTTTTGTTTTGCTATTCAGAATATAGACTCGTTAAAATAATGTTGGCTGGTTTTATGTTTTAATCGCTGCTCAGTTGACATTATGTAAGAACAGGGTGCATCAACATTTTATACAAATATAAAGAAAGGTTAAATATTAGTGGGTGCAGTTTTTGTGCAGTTATTGGTCTTCATATTTTTCCCCGCATATATTAATCCTCTTTGACAGACAGATTGAAACTGCTCTACCCAGATAAATTTTGGACACTTCCTTTCGTGGTCTCCCATGAGGCTTATCTGATAGTCTGTATTGTAAGATGAATTGACAGTTTATGTCACTAGTGAAGCTTCCCTGAAAAAAAAAACAGAAAAATTAAATACTAGATAATCCCCTAACTTTGAAATGCAGGTTGTTTAGCAATAAGAAAGTTTTGAAGACACATTGAAAAGTTGAAAGCTTTGAAAAACTTATTAGTAGCTGTTTGCATAATCATGTAGGTGTTTTTCAGATTTTAATGACTCTTTTCCTTTATACTTTTCCACTGGTCAAAAGGACCCAGCAGAGATTATACGATCTAAGACTTCTCAGAAAACAACAACTGAATGAGAAACTGCTGGTGACCTTCTACTGCTGCACCATAGAGAGTATCTTAACTTACTGCACCTCCGTATGGTTTGCCAGTTGCACAGGGGCAGATAGGAAAGCACTCCAGAGGGTTAACGTCATTGCTCAGAGGATCATTGGTTGCCCTCTCCCCTCTTTGGAAGAGCTTTAGAGCTCCTGCTGTCTTAAGAAAGTTCAAAACATTCTCAAAGATCCATCTCATCCTGGGCACCATTTTTTTTAACTATTACCATCTGGCAGACAGTACGGGATAATAAAAACAAGGACAAATAGGCTGAAAAACAGCTTCTATCCCAGGGCAGTAGCTCTGTTGAATTCTACTGTAGAGTGCCATATTAATGCAATATCAGGGTTTTCAATTCAATGTATAGGATGAGAAGGAGGTGTGTTTGTGTTTTATTTTTATAGTTATAAGGTACACTGAAGATGGTATTTAATTTTGGTGTACGAGGTGCAATGATAATAAACTAACTATTATAAAGTATACTTTTATAAAGTATACTTTTATACTTTTTTAAAGGCTGAATGCACCAATTATCACATTAAACAAGAGGAAAACCTTCTATGCACCAATTCCACCCGCACTTTCTACAATTTTGTAAACAGCAAACTAAAAGACTCGAGGTCCATCCCACCCCTGAAAGGACCTAATGGTAAAGACTGCAACAATGACACTATCAAAGCCAACCTCTTTAACACATTCTTTGGCTCAGTATTTGTAAACAGCAATGGATCATGGCCAGTATTTCCTAGTCAAACCACAGACAACTACAATGATCTAATACATATCGATTTTACAGTAGACAATGTTGAAAAAGCACTATGCAATCTAAAACCATCTCTATCTATTGGACCGGACGGAATATGTGCCTACTTCTTAAATAAGCTATCCACTGCCATAGCCGAACCTCTAAGCATAATCTTTGAAAAATCTTAAAGGACCAGCTGCCTGCCAAAACTATGGTCACAAGCCACAGTCATCCCCATCTTCAAAAAGGGAGACCCCAGCCTAGTTGAAAATGACAGACAGGTGCTGCGTCACCTGTAAAGTCATGGAATCAATTATTAACCAATCCATTATCCTCCACTTAGAGACAAACAACCTACTCTCTAATAAACAATTTGGTTTCAGAAAAAAACTATCCTGCAATCTGCAACTCTTACACTGCAAAAATATATGGACTACACAACTCGATCAGGGGAAAGCAATAGACACAATCTACATAGAATTCTGTAAAGCCTTTGATTCAGTGGTACACGACAAACTACTCCTAAAACTAAAATCTTATGGTATCTCTGAACACTTACATAACTGGATAGAAGCATTCCTGTCAAACAGACAATAAATGGTCAAAATTGGGAGTGTCTATCAAATTCTGTACCTGTCAACAGTGGTGTCCCTCAAGGCAGTGTTCTAGGACCAACTCTCTTCATACTCTACATAAATAACCTCTGTGATCATATTAAGAGCAACTGTGTTCTCTTCACTGATGATGTAAAGCTGTTCAACACCACAGACAATACTGCTACCCTTCAAAAAGACCTCATCTATGTATCAGAATGGTCAAACAAATGTCAACTTCAAAACTCAACAAATAAATGCTCTGTCTTACATATTGGCAAAAAAATATCAGAAAATAAAATACAGGCTGAATAGTCAAGACCTTGTTGATGATCCAAACTCTGTCAAGGATCTTGGAGAACTCATCTCTAATGATCTAAGTGCTAGAGCCCACTGTAATTACATAGCCAAAAAGGCATTAAGGGTTGTTAACCTAATCTTACGTAGCTTTTTCTCTGGTAATATTACACTACTAACTAGAGCATACAGAACATTTGCTAGACCAATACTCAAATACAGCTCATCAGTCTGGAACCCACATTACGTATCTGATATTAACACAGTTGAGAAAGTCCAGAAATATTTCACAAGAAGAGTTCTCCACTCCTCTATTTGTTGCAGAATGAATACCTTATGCCACCAGACTTGAAATTCTAGACCTAGAAAACCTAGAACTACGCCGCCTTCAGTCCGATCTTAGTATATAAAATCATACATTGCAATGTCCTACCTGTCAATGAATACTTCAGCTTCAACCATAACAATACAAGAGCAAACAATAGATACAAACTCAAGGTTAATTGCACCAAACTTGACTGCAGAAAATACGACTTCAGCAATGTCTGGTCAATGTCTGGAATACTCTGCCTGACTGTGGTTTCTTCTCCAAACCCCCAAAACTTTAACTTTAGACTTTCTACTATTGACCTCACCCCTTTCCTAAGAGGTCTGCATAAGTGCACCAACGTGCCTACTGTCCCCGTGGTTTGCAAAATAAATTGCAGTTGTTGTACTCACACGTCAAACAATAATCTGTAGTTTATAAACAAGAATGAATGTATAGAGTAAGGTAAACCATAACCAAAAAATGTATGTTGATCTAAAATGATATAACAGCCTTTGTTGGAGAAATCCTGATATATCTAATAAAACGAGCTCTCCTTTTAATCAAATAATATGGTGGTTGGGATTCTGTTAACACTGAATGTCTGTTAAATGTGAACGAGAGTTTGTAAATATTATTTACATATTGTGAAATGGTAAATCAGATTTTGCACCTGTTTAAAATGGGAACATAATGTAACATAGGAGTGTTTTATGTATTTTGTGGATCCATAAAAATACCAAAAGGATATTTTATCTAAGCAATTTTTTTTCTGTTTCATCCAGCTCACTATAGTAAGGTCTATTAAATCAAGAATTTAATACTGGCATTAAAAAGTTTGTATTGATAAAGTCTTGGTAGAAGGAAGGGAAGCAGGGAATTTTCCATTGAGATGAACACAGACCAGTTGGAAATGTGTGACTTTTGAGAGCTGAGATCTGTATGCATGTGATTGTTGGGTTTACGTTTTACTGAACTTCAGTGGTTTTATCTGGTTTTTGTTGGCCAGTAAAACGTCTTATTTTTATTGGGTTCACTACCCAAATTTTCTTGGACAAATTGGCAGCTTTATATATTGGATGGATGGATGAATGAATGGAGAGAAGGAGGGATTCAGAAATGGATGGATGGATGAATGGAGAGAGGGAGGGATTCAGAGACAGATGGATGGATGGACAGAGAGAGGGAGGGATTGAGAGATGGATGGATGGAGAGAAGGATGGATTGAGAGATGGGTGGATGGATTGATGGAGAGAGGGAGGGATTGAGAGATGGGTGGATGGATGGATGGAGAGAGGGAGGGATTGAGAGACGGATGGATGGATGGATGGATGGATGGATGGAGAGAAGGACAGATTGAGAGATGGGTGGATGGATGGATGGAGAGAGGGAGGGATTGAGAGACGAGTGGATGGATTGATGGAGAGAGGGAGGGATTGAG